TCAAATTCGGGGTCGGTTCGAAATTCAAAACTTTTTTTTATGATTTTTATTGAATATCTCGGGTAAATACTGTCCGATTTTGAAATGTTATACCGTTTTGAATTCGTAGGGATCCCTACTATCAATTTGCATTCAAACATTTTTAAAATCGATGGGTTAAACAAAGTGGTTGACCAAAAACCGATTCGTTTGTAAAGTCAACCTTTGTTGATGTTTTTTTTTGAATATTTCGGCCAAATAATGTCAGATTTGGGAAATTTATTCAATTTTGGACTCGTAAGGATCAGTACTATCGATTGGCATCAAACAAATAAAAATCCAAATTTTGACCAAAATCAACCAAATGGCAGGGGGCGTTTTTCACGTTTTTTCTCAAATTCGGGGTCGGTTCGAAAATCAAAACTTTTTTGATGACTTTTCTTTAATATCTCGTTTAAATATCGACTGATTTTGGAATGTTATACCTCTTTGTATTTGTAAGGATCCCTAGTATCGATTGGTAATGTTTGGAATTTAATATCGGGGGTTGACATTAAACTTATTAACAAAAAACCAACTGTGGAATGATGTCCATCTTTTTGATGATTTTTATACTCTGAACCCATTAAAAATTGGTAAAGGGGGTATAATGTATTTGTGCAATCGTATGTAACATCTCCGACCATATAAAGTATTTATATTCTTGATCAGCATCAATAGCCGAGTCATTCTAGCCATGTCTGTCAGTCCGTCTGTCCTAGAATAGTATATATATCAGGTATCTTTCATTTTATAGCTATCGCCACGTCCGCGCTACCACTACATAGCTATAAATCAAATAAATGAATCAATTTGTATTGCCCAACAATTTAAGGAGGCGGCAAGAAGCGTGGTCTCTTGCGAGTTCGAGTCCAACCGAAGGAACTATGTTTTTTTTTTATCCCCTAGTCGGGAACTCCCGACTAGAGCCTGTTACTTGTTTAATTTAGTTAAACTGCAGATTTGTGCTGTGGCAAAAAATAACAATAGCAATTGAAGAACAAAGTCCGAAATTTTACATGAATTTGCTTGGACTTAAAATAATTTGTAAATTCTAGATAGAATATTCTTATTATATATTTATAATATAATATATAATTATATAATATATTCTAATTATGTCTTACTCAAAGATTAACAGTTTAAGATGTTAAATATTTCGGGTAAATGTAAAAAGTTTAATAAGAAAAAAAAAGAGCCAAGGAAACCCCAGAAAAATGACAGTTCGAATGATAAATGGCCAAAAAAGCAAGTGGTACACATGTTCCCAGTTAATTGGACATCAGGCGCTGCGCCTCCTTCTCTTTTTTGTCATGAGTCCTCGACATTGCAACTTTCACGGCTCCGTGAACGCAAGTTGGCCAACTCGTTTCTACGCTTCGACTTGGGGGCAGAGCTGGAAAGCTGCATTGCCGAGCGCGGCTTCCATTACGTCGATGTTAGATGGCATTGTGTATGGTCAGAGCACTCGCGACTGCATCCGATCGGGTCTAGCCAGTTTGGGCCGTTGATTTGGTGGCCAAACGAAATGTATAACAAAAACAACGTCCACTGACAAACGATTTCAGCAATTGCCAACAGTTTTCAACGTTTTATCAATTTCCAGAGCAGTTTAACTGGATGTGACACCGTCTGCATTTGGAATGGATTGCAATTGGTTCGGTCAGGTTTGAGCCTGCCAACGGCTTCCATTTTCATGGTGAAATTGAAAATGTAGATCGTCAAGTGCAAGCCAGTTGCCAAACTGGAAAAGGGATACGGCAAAGCTAGGAAAATGTATATAGAGGGTGACGAAAGGGAATGTGAGAAATATCAAAGGTTTTATTCCACTCTTTTCATATTTTTTGAGAAAATGCAAACAAAAGGAAAAAAAACCATTGCAAATAGATTAAGAAATGTGCTGTGAATATTTTTCCTATATCGTAGGATTAAAATAGTTTAAGATCCTTTTTAAGGTAAACATTTTGTTTGTTTATAATTATTTATATTAATTATTTCATAACACATATGCCAAAAGCACGCTTCACGAATGTGTAACTGTTATTAATAAAACAAAAATGAAAATAAAAACACAAATGTTTAAACAAATCGAATTATGCATTATTTTTATGGCTACACGAACGGATCGCACTTACACCGAAATATATCGAAACGATGAAAGCTCAGCGTAAAGTAATTTCGCCGCGTATTCTTATGGATCTTCATCGAGCCCGACATGTTCATACCGTATAAACTTCAACTTTGAACCGTATTTTTATTGAATAATTGAGGGCGAGAACACAATGCACAATCACATGCTCAATGGTTTGCAAACGAAGATTTATGGAAAAAATAAACAAATACGAATCTTAAGTCGAAACCCGTGAATATTCAGCTTTGAGCTGGGCTGTGGACGTTGACGATGTTGACTGGGCGAGCGTCGCTGGCAGCCTGATGCGAGTTCAAGCGATCGCCAAAGTTATTCACCCAAAACGACAACAGCAACAGCCACAATAACAATAACAACAACAACTGCAACTGCAACTGCAACAACAACAACAACAACGAGTCCGCGAGTCGTGTCGACTCCGAGCTGTGGCATCGTGAAGTCTTGTGAAATGCCTGTGCGAAAAACACGTTCACTTTCATTGGGTAAAAGTTTTGCAGCGCAGGCAGCGCGGGTGGATTGGCTGCCACAACCCACATGCAGCCCAGGCCATAATTGGCGGCATTGTGGTGCATGCACCAGAGGGAAATGGTGGGGAGGGGAGCGTGACAGTGGCAGTGGCAGTGGCAGCAGCAGCCAGAGGTGCCCGTCAATTTGCTGAACATATGCACTTCCGCCTGGGCCAACGACAGCGCCAAAGGATCCAGCGCTTCTGATCTGCAACCTGTCCGGTGGCAAGCAGCAAGCAGCAAGTGGCAAGTGGCAAGTGGCAAGTGGCATACAGTGACTACTGTATTGGGTTTCACTCAATTTGATGCCCATTTGAAACTGGTCGCTTGAATGCATTTGCAAACACAGTCAATGACAACGAAGTCTGTTCCTCTGCTTCCCCTTTAACTAGCCACCCATCGCACGTCTGTAGCCAACCCACCTGTAATATTTACCCACGTTGCTTTAAACTTCCACTTCTTTGTTTGGCCACATTGTTTTTTCAGCTTTTCCTGCTACAGTTTTTTGCCCAATGTTAACGTGTGAATTTTGCTCGAATGTCTATTTCATTTTGTATGCATACAACTAGTTCTCTGGCAAAGAAATGCCTATTGCGAGTGCATAGACCATTTACGAATGCATATTGCGAGTCAATGCATGTCAAATAGCTGGCATTCATTGTCTTCGGCCAGGTTAATACACTCGCTAAACTCTATAAACTGTCAGTTTGCTGACACTTCATTTTCTATACGGCCATAGATCTAACTGCTTAGCTGCTGACTGCAATAATACACTGTAAATAATAGTAATGAGATACATTCGCTCCTCATCTATTACCTTAATCTAAGCACATTTGTTAGCTGCTACAACTAATTGACCATAAATATAACATAGCCTGCCTTTCTTTTAATATACTTCGTATGTTTAATATGCTTGATATGAGTTAGAATATTGCCCATTGCCTTCCATAAATTAAGTGAGATTCTTAACAATCTGCAATACAAACATAACGCAACAGCTGCAAGCTGTTTCCGCTTAAACTACTTGGGAATTGTAAGATTGATCTGTTGTTAATTTCAATTGGTGTAGCTGCTGTTGCATGTTTGTTTGTTGCTGTTGTCTATTTAAACGCTCCTCTGGTCAATTGCAGCCAATTTGCCAAATGGTTAACAAAATGTTGACCAAAGTTGTTTGGTTGGCGTCTGGTTGTTGGGCAATTCCAGTTTTAGCCAACTTTGTGCTGCTAATTGATCAATCAATGCGACTGGCAGCGCTTTTTGCTCGCCCCCCGCTTAGCCAATAATGTCAAAGACCCCGTCAATGGTGCGTGAGTGGGTTCAAGAGTTATTGATTAAGGCGTGCAATAGGGCAACGCTCGGTTTTACTGATCAGACGAAAAAGAAACTGTAGAACAAATTGTGTGAACTATGTGTGCGTAAGAAGTATGGGCAATGGCAACTGTTGAATGGACTTGCGTTGAACTACTTGTAATGCAACTTGGTGCGCTTCTTCTTGCCCAGCTTATTGATGCATTTCATTTTGGAGTGGCATCTGCGATTCGTTGTGGATGCGGAAGCGGCCGCTGAGCTGGTGCAGGGCACATCACCATTGGCCACGTTGCGCATGCCCATGGTGAGAACGTCGGGATTGGGCCAGAGCGGTTCCTCTGGGTCGGCGATCTTGACGTCCAGCAAGTGGCGATCGAGCAGCTCCAGCTGATGATCTGTGGCAAATTTAGGGTCCAGCGAGCTCATAAAGAGCGTTGCATTGCCAACGCTGTAAATGACATAGGTATCCTTAACATTCAGATTCTCTGGCAGCTTATCTGTCAGATCATCCAGGCTGGGCGCCGTCGGCTCCTCGGTGAGCAGCGTTCTGCTCAATTGTGTCATCGCCGGCGTCTGTTTGGGTGACATGTGAACGGTCGTTGTTTCATCGGAGCTGCTGCTTAGCGGCCTGCTATCCAGCAGATCCGACCAGCCCAGGCTCGAACCATCGGTGCTCATGGCTCACAACTCCCGCCGTTAATGGGTATGTTTTTTTATTGAGTTTTTTGTGTTTGTGTTTTATTGTCGAATTTCGTAATTTGTGATTTGTACGTTTTTGTTTACCAAAATTATGTTGTGTGGCCGAAATTTGGATTCGAAATGTCTGACCTGGCATAATGCCGGAGCACACTTGACTAAGTATGAAGTGAGTTCTTGATCTAAGAACTTTCATGGGCTATTTTTAAAGACTCGGTGGGGAGTTAAAACCGTGCCTCTAATACTTCAGTCCATTATCCCATAGGATTCATAACATTCACTCAAAGTGCCGCTATCATTTAGAGACGAGCTGGCCAACATACCTGATATGGTCGACATGGTGCGATTGTGATTGCCACGCACCAGTTCCGAGGGACGCAGACTGGGCTCCTCCACAACCTCTAGGCCTGAGTCCGAATCCACGGCGTCATGTCCGGCTGCAGAGCCAACAGTTGTTGTGACTGTCGCTTGTGTTGTTGTCGCTGTTGCGGGTGGCGGTGCGTTGCCAAAGTGATTCTTCTTATAGATGTTGTTACTGTTATTTGAGTTGATGTTGTTGCTGCTGCTGTTGCTGTTGTTGCTGGAGTGTTCGCCATTCAGGTTGTTGCGCTGCACGGGAGCACGCAGTGGCGGCGGCAGGGGTGGCGGCGGAGGTCCATTAACTAAAGGGTGAGAGAGAAGGAACAGAGGGCGAGTGTTAGTAGAACTGGTTTACCGAGAATAAGGTATCCTTACAGACATATATGACAATAGTGATTATTATTACCCGGCTTTGCACGACCCAAAATTTCTATGAATTTCCTTTGCTCCATACCACGTATGGGAAATGCATTCTTGAATAACTTCGATGCTTAAAGACCGGTTTTTTTTTAATTATCAGGGAATGAACATGGCATGGAAAAGTATTCATGAACTTAAAGTACAATGCTCTACCTTTAAAAATAAGTTTCTTCCAATTTTTGGGAGAATTGGTTGAGGTATCCAATAAGTGAAACATTTTAAATCGATGTATACTTAATGAGAATCTAGATACCCCCTTCAATGTGTCTCGCTTTAAAAAACATGTCTCAAAATCAATATTTATCGATATTATGAAAGTGGGAGCAAATGCTGCGTGATATGCAAGATATATGTGTGTACTAAATGGAGTGGGAGATGCTGCCTTCTGCCTGTTACATACATTTGCACAGAAACATTTCACCCTTTTTACTCATTTGTAATGGGTATGCAAATAGGAGAAAATATAGCAATGATGCTTATATGCTAAGACTTACCCACGGCTAGATTCTGCATGGGCGGCGCCGAGGAGACGCGTTTCAAATTCCTGTTCATGTTGTTGGAGCCGTTTTGATTGATGCTGTTGCTGCTGTCGCTGTTGCTGTTGCTGTTGATGTGGACATTACCATTGCTGCTGCTGTTGTTGTTGTTGTGCATGGACAGGTTGGGATTGCTGCTAAGCATGCCAGCATCCGCCAAGTTGTTGCGTATCATGGAGTTCTTGTGCGACTGCTTGGTGCGCTCGGCAACATCCTCGGGCGGGCAGACGCTCTCGTAGGTGTCGCTCTTGATGCCGCCATTCAGGAGCTGATTCTTCAGATTTAGATTTATGTTCTTGCCGCTATAGTTATCCTTGATGCTTGAATCGTATTTGCTGCTGTGCAGGCCAATCATTGAATGCGATTTATTGCGATTCAGTAGGCTTATGTTGTTGTTGTTGTTGATGTTGTTGCTGCTGCTGCTGCTGTTGTTGTTGTTATTGTTGCTGCCGTTGTTGCTGCTACTGTTGTTATAGTTGTTGCGCTTGTTGTTCAAATGCTGTAACAGGAGAAGACAGAGAGAAAGAAAAAGGAGGAGCTTAAATTTGATGGCACGAATCACCCTGTTTGCCGCGCTACTCACATGGTTGCTGTACTGCAGCACCACATCTGTGCTGCGCGTGGAGCTGGCGCTGGCGGATCGGGAATGTGAGCCACTATCGCGGGAGCGTGATCTGCCCACACTATATTTGTGCTGCAACTGTTGCTGCTGCTGCTGCTGTTGCTGCTGCTGCTGCTGCTGTTGCTGCTGCTGTTGCTGAAGCTGTTGTTGCTGCTGCTGTTGCTGTTGCTGTTGTTGCTGATGCTGATGTTGATGCTGATGTTGCTTACGTGACTCCTCGCGTACCAAATATATATCCTCGTAGTCATGATCACCGTTCTGATTGCCATTGCTGCTGATGTTGCTGCTGCTGCTCTTATGTTGCTTGTAGCTGCTGTTGCTGTTGTTGTTGTTGTTATTATTGTTGTTGCCGCTGCTGCTGCCGCTGCTGTTGTTGTTGTTGTTGTTCTTAATGTTGCTGCTGCTGCTGATATTGCTGCTGCTTCCATGCCGATTGAAGCTCTGACTGCGCAGCTGGTGCGGATGCTGGTGATGATTGTGACTGTGATTATTACTGTGATGATGACTGCTGCTCTTTGGCGAGTTGAAGCTGGACGAGATGGAAACGGACTCATCGGAGCCGCTGCCTGCGCCGCTCGAGCTGGAATGGACATCCGCCTGAATGGTCATGATGGCATTGCTGGCCTTCGATTGTATCGAGTGCAATGGATGCGGCATCTGGTGCTGCTTCACGCTGCTGCAGTCCGAGTCAACGAACAAATCGCGCACCCGATTGTAGATGATCTCCTGGGGATCGTGCAGAAAGAACGACTCGCCCGATATGCTCCCGTTCGGCGAGGGCGTGGCATACATGCCGCCATTTCGCATCGGATTCACATAGAGGCCATCGTTGGGCAGCAGCGCACCGCCGCCGCTTGTGCTGCCCGTCGCACCGCCACCACCAGCACCACCACCCGCGGCGCCATAGAGCTTCTCCGAGGAGCTGCGCGACTGTTGCGAGTACAAAGCGTCGCTGTTCTTGCGAGTAATGCCAACGCCCAAGCCCAAGCCCATGCCCAGGCCAACGCCAGCAGCGGCAGCAGCTGCCGTCACAGCTGGCGGATGCAAATAAAATGGCTCCACATCGGAGCTGAGCGTGGATGAGGACTTTGATTTGATCGTGTTGCTGCGGCTTGTCTGCTTGCTGGAATTTGTATTCGAGTTGCAGCTGCTGCTCATGTGTTGCTGCTGTTGCTGCTGCTGCTGCTGCTGCAGCTGCTGTTGATGTTGATGTTGGTGCTGCGATTTGTGACGCTGTGTGTTGTTGTTCTTGTTGTTGTAGTCCACGGTGGTGCCATGCTGCACCAGCACATTGAGGCACTGTAAGGCAAGAAACAGGCATTGGTTAAAACGTGTTGAACGCATTGTTGCCATGTGGCGGCAGTTGGTCTCGATACTCACCTCCACCTGTTGATTCTCGGCCGCATCGTTAATCGGCGATTTGCCATATTTGTCCAGCGACAATTTGGCGCCGTGGTTGAGCAGCCAACGTACCACAGACAGATGGCCACGCGAGGCGGCAAAATGCAGTGGAGTGGCACCGTCTCCATCACGTAAATTGGGATCCACGCCCTGATCCTGCACCTGTGAGTGCAATCAAGCAAATGTTATTAACAAACAAAATCATAAATCAATAATTAAAGCCTATTAGGCTTAGTTGAATTTATGAAAATCGCATAGAAAGGCGATATTGAAGAGAGAACAAAACAGGTTGAGTGAGAGGGAGATATGAGTGACGGAAGAAAAAGTGATAAATGAACAGAGGAAAGACAGAGAGAGAGTGAGCGATATATAAATATATATGGCGATAGAAACAGAGGAAGAAAGAGAAAGGTCGCAAGAAAGATGCAGAGGAAGGGAACGAGATGGTAAGAGAAAGAGCGAGAGACGGATAAGGGATGCTTGATAGTAACAGAGAGGGGAAAGAGAAAGAGACAGTGAGAGAGACGAGCAATTAAAGAATGATGGAGATGGAAAGAGCGAAAGAGATAGAAAGAATCCATTTATTCTATTACTAGCACATTCACTGAGGTCGACATATGTATATATAGACCATAAAGAAGCGTAAATGTCTCCTTCTGCCTGTTATACAACTTAAGTGGACACAGCTATCAAATAAATGGTAAAGATACATATATATGTATATATACATTTACTGATTTGTAGGGGGAGGAGGGGGGAGTGGTTAGCTTGTTTCTCTCGCACTCAGTGGCAAAACGAAGCTGTTGGCAATTTAATGGATTGTCACCCGCTCCACAAGGATCCATTGTGAACTGTCAATATTGTGACGTGTCGTCGTGTGGCTTGACAAGACTTGAGTCGCACGGAGTGCTTAGTGGGCACTTCTCAGGCACGCACACACACACAAACACATACAGACACACGCATGTGGAAAGTGGTTTGCTTGATGTGTGTGCGTCTCCCGCTTTAGCTGCTGCATTGGCAATGCAAAACTATTTAGTTCAATTTAGAAAGGTGATTTTCAACTGGCACCCAAAGTCGACCCGCCAAGCTGATGTCCAGTTTACGTTGAGAGATCTTCAAAGAGACAGAAAGAGACAGCCGGCGCCCGAAGAGCGGCAACGATTCCCAGCGGATACGAAGTAAAAGAACATTGTTAGCATTACGATTTGCTCCAGCTTTGACTCGGACTTCGACTTTGGAGTCTGGAATCGGTTACTGGTTACCGCTTGATAAATTGCATAGGCCATGCGACAAACGAGTCAAAGACCGGGCACCGTTAACTGTGCGATCTGTAACCAGGATAAGAACATGCAGAAGGCCATGCGCCTTGCGGTTGAAACGAGTTCATGTTTCTTTTTGTTTTGCTGTTAGCCTCATTTTGGCACTTAGCGTTGGTATTTTTGGCATTTGGCAACGAGTGCAGCAAGCACTTAAATGTGTGGGTACTCACCATCCATTTGAGGCAATCCAAGCAGCCCATTTGTGAAGCGGCATGGATCGGTGCCATGCCGTCGCGTGCGCGCACATAGAGCGAGCCGCCGGCTTCAAGCACCAGAAACTTGAGCACCTCCAAATGCCCCTCCTGGGCGGCCAGGTAAACGGGCGTGACATCATTGTCCATTTGCGTATTGGCGCTGCAAGATAGAATAAACATATATATACATACATGAAAGAAATCTAGTCAGTTATGTTGTATGTTCAGTTTCAGTTTTAATTAGCTAAGGCCACAATCGCTTGCAGTTCTCTAATGAGCAAAAACCCAACACCGTCCGCACCGTCCGCACCGTTCGCACCGTGCCCCGTGCCCCATGTCCCATGCCCCCCGTGTGGCATTCACTTGCAACAAAGTTGTGAAAACGATTTGGTAACACAAAAACTACTAATGGCTGCCATATAGAGTTTGCGATACAAAGATATATAGATACAAATTAAAGTATCATCAATGCCAACATGAAAAGAAAACAGAAAACAAGTTGACAGATTGCGTTGGGCCCCCTCTCACCCTCTCTCTCTCCCTACCAGCTGGTTGCCAGCTAGTTTTTGTGTTTTGCTATGCACAAAATTTAAAAAGTGGATGATGGACAGCTGATATATATGTCTAGTATCTGCCATATCCACGCGTTATAGCTGATGTTTACCACACACATCGGAAAAGTTATTTCGTTTTTCGTATGCCTAATACAGGGAAAAATAGACATAATTTTCATACGGCTTATGTGTAGAAGGTGTTCCAGACTATGGTCAAAGAAAGTAAGTTTAAGCCCAAAAGAAATGTGTTCACGTTTCGAACCGGCGTGTTGGTTCAACTCGTGAAGCCGTTTTTTGACATCTTAATGTTCAGCTTTTGAGACCGGCTCTTGAAAGTTGTTTTATTTGAAGCAAACCATTAAAAAAAAATGGTTTTGCTTGTTTCGTTTCATGATAAAAAATAAATTGGGGTTTCATTCAAAATTGGTTTACAACCTTGCTTAAAAGCTCATATTTGTTGGAAAAGAGTTAAAGTTTAAAAAAACATTTCATGGCTAATAGATTCATAATTAATAAAGAATATAGCAAAGTCAGCAGGCTTAAACTATATGATCTTAAACCATTGAATTTTCCTTTTGATTTGCAAAGACATCGATTCTTTTTATGCAGTTAACATAGTATATTGAACATAGTAGAAAACAGATTAAATACAACTGATTTGCGATCATAAAGGAATAATCATATTATGAATGATTTCTTAATCTTATATTTCATGACTCCACTTTAGATTCTTTTTCATTTTGTTATTGTATAATTTTGGTTATTATTTATTTGCAATCGTATTTCGATTGGTTGCCAGCACTGTTGCTGCTCACCTCACGACGCTGCGTCGATTGTTTTGCTCCTTGCGACCCTGGCCAGCGCCTGCGACCAACATGGACGTGGCCTCATCATCGTTGGAGTCGCCGTTGCCGGCGGAGACTTTTCTTTGATGCACCTCCATTATGCGTTCGCTGAGATTGCTAAGATTTTCGCTGGGATTGATATCCTCCTGGCTATTATTGTGCTTGCTGTGCTTTTGGTTGGAACTGTGAACGCCGGCTGTGTCTTCGCCGTGCTCTGCATCAGGATCGTGGCAGTTGCTGTGGCGGCGACTGCTGCTGCTGCTGTGGCTGCTGCTGCTGCTGCTGTTGCTTCTCTTATTGTTGTGGTTGCTGCTACTGCTGCTGCTGAGGATGGCAGTGGTCACGCAGTTCACCTCTGTGGAGATGATGGTGTGTATGTCATTGTTGGACTTGCTCTTCTGCTTGCTGCGACGGTACGAGGTCAGACTTGTGGTCATGCGGCCGAGCAGGCCCTTCTTAACGTTGATGGTCGAGAAGTAGCTACAGAGTTGGATTTTTCTTTTGGTTTTTTCTTGCAGGGTTTGCAGCAGGTTGTGCCAGAGTTAAGTGTGTGTGTGTGTGTGTGTGGGTGTGTGTGTGGGTGGGCAAGGACAGCGTGACGCGAGTGTTGTTTAAGTTTAACTTGTGCATGGAGAAGACGTTACGACACGAGACGCGAGTAAACAATGCGGGAACTGCAGTAAACCACAATGGGCGGTACTTAAAGAGGGGGGCGTGGTTGTGTTGTTGTGCAATTGTTGTGCTATTAAAAATACTGTTGAAATGCCTTTGCTTACCTACGCGCAGTTATTGTTACCTATGTGACTTTCGTTTTTATGTCGCGTATGCCATAATACAGTTCATATAAACAGAATCAACTGGTTTTTCGGTTGAGTTTTCCCCAATACCGTTACATACACAGACACACACACACACACAACACACACAACACACACGGCACACGCTGAGATAAAGAAAATAAATGGTATATATTGAAACGGTTAAAAGAAAAATCACTTTGATATTCGATTCGATTGTTTTTCGTTGCGTTTTTTCCAAGATTGAAGCTCTCAACTGTTTTCTGCTTCCGTTTATTTGCATTTCAAGTTTGTGGCACGGTTAACAACAACACGCACAGCTCTCGCGGTCACATGCATAAATCTAAATCAATCGTTAGTTGAGTTAGTTGTGTCACCCCCCGCCCCGCAGCCACTCGAAACCGAAAGTTAACACGGTCGAAAAGTCAAGTCGTAGAGTTGAAAATTTTGGATGGCGCCGGCCGCATTGCGTCTGCCACGGCAGCTGCAACTGACTCTCAATGTGGCCGCCACACGATTGAGCCATCGGCTGCCTGCCCCAGCAAACTTCTAGTTTCTTTTGTTTCGCTTCTGCCACCTCAGCTCTGCTTTTTTCGGGGTGAAATTAACGCAAAATACTACAAAAAACAAGCAAAAAAAAAAAAAAAAAATGGCAATGCAGACCAGATCACATACTAAAGACTCAGCCATAGACTTTTCTCTCTGTGTTACGCCCGGGCGGAGCGGAGCGGGCGTCTCTGGCCTGTGATAGCAGCCGCGGGCTATGATGCACATTTGCTACCATTTGTCTATGTTATTAGCTACAGCACCGTGTGACAAAACTGAATAAAATCAAAGCTTACTATAATCGAAAAACGGACAAAAAAAATATATAATATGCACCATTTCGAACACTTTCTATCACCCTTTTAAGTACTAATACTAAATCTTGATTGGCGTAGATGCTAAAGAAACGTGTCAATAAATTCTTTAAAAATAAAACATTAATAAAATATGCAATTTTTTCGTCGTTTGTGCCTCCAAAATTAATAAAAATTTCCAAGATTTACCCCAAGAACTTGTTAAAACAATATGCTAACATACACTTTGCCTGACTATTTTATATAAAAGAAATAAATAAATAAAAATAATGTTTGATGCCATAATTTCTGTCAAAGCCTTAGCCAGTTCACGATTATTTAAAGATCGAGTTGTGTTAAAATATATGGGAGTTAAGCAAGCCAAGTTTGCAAAAATAATGCAAAATCTACAAAATCTACCATAAATTATACGCTCCTTATTCAAGTTGAAAGTTGTGTAGAAATATATTAAAGTTTGAATAGAAAATAAAACATTGAAAACATTGCTTGATGATCTGATATATCCCACACTCGGAATAGTAATGAAATTTCTATGAATACTGAAAGAGTTACGCTCAGTCTGGTCCCACTGTGCTTTCCCTAGTTTATGCTGGCGGCGCTGGCGTAGGCAACCGACTGAGCTGCTCAGCGGCGGCTACTTCATGGATATTGCACACCAGACGGCCCAGCTTCAGATGGAGTCTTCGCTCCGCTCGAGTCTCAAGATTGGAGCAGGCGGCGCTGTTGCCGTTGCTTTCTTTGCCAGCGACTTAGCGACTTGGCGAGTTGTTGTTACACATTTTCCAGCTTTTCGCTGCAGAAATGAATTGTAAACCAATTAAAGTTGATTTTTCATCTTCACGTTGTGCGTTGTTGTTGTTGTTGTTGTTGTCGTTGTTGTTGTTGTGGGCTTTTTTCTTCTTCTTCGTCTTCTTCTACTACTTATTTCTCGCTAAACTCGTACATATAAAGTTTATAGCACAGACCCCCGCTCAGCTCGGGTGTCCATTTGCCAGTCGCGTGTTTTTTATGCGCCTCGACAGCTTCTTCTTCTTCTTCTTCTGCTTTGGCTTTGTAGGTGAAAATACAGTAAATAACGAGTAAATCTAAAGTTATCCCAATTTTTTTGTGCTCATTTTGTAATTGCAATTTAATAATTACACTTATTTTTTGTTGTTGCTATTCGCATGTAATTTATGTTTGTTTTTTTTTTTTCTTTAATATTTTTAATCACAATTCGCACAACTGGAAATAAATTGAAGCGCAAGTCTCGAAAGGCCGATAATTATGGAGAGCTGCCTTGTTATAAGCACGGTTGACAGTTAGCCGAGAATGCCATGAGATCTCGAGAGATCTAGTGAGATCTTTAGCGCTTTTAATTGAACATTTGCGTGTCGCAGTCAAAGTCATAGTCGCAGTCGCAGTCGCAGTCGCAGTCGCAGTCGCAGTGGGCAGAATGAAAGCAACTCTCGACACAAATACGCCAACGGGCCGATGAAGAGAACTAAACATAGTTGGAAGCAAGATTTGCAAAAATCGATTAGTCGCCAATTCCAGGCACATGATGAACTCACAACTCTAAGAATGTTTTCATTTCTCTGCGAATGTTTTCATTTGCTCAACTTTCGGTTCTTTCATCAACAACCTCATAAATACTTCTTGCATATTTTACGATATATTCTATACACTAACTAATAACTTAAACTGTGTTTAATCTATATGCATGACGTTTGCTTGTGCGCTTTTATTGCCACCTTTCTTCTTCTATACATGTTCAAGTTTAAGATCTGACTCTATTTAAACCTCTTAAGAGATCTATATATTTTTTATTAAATAAATCTTTTTGTCATCTATTTATTTACATATTAATTTGTTATATCTTTAACTGACTTTTTTCCATACATGTTCAGGTTTCAGGTCTGTATCTACATAAATCCTTAAGACATACATTTATTTTTTAACCATTTAACCTCTGTGTTATCCATTTAATAGCTTTAGATTTTTGTTATGTCTTTAACTGACTTTCTTCTGTACATCTAGAGATCTATACATAATTTGTATCAATTAAATCTATTTGTCATCTATTTATTAGCATTTTAATTTGTTATATCTTTCACTGACCTTT